ACAAGAAACAAAACAAACTAAAATTTAAAAAAAAAAAACTTTTCAAAATAAAAACAAGAATATCTTTTGTTTATTCAACAGTCTGATGAGTTAACAGCCTGTACAAAACACAAATTTAAGGGCAAGGGTAGAGGACCGAGTGTGGGATAAGGGACTGGTGTAGATGATGCGGCAGTGACGAAGGCAGGGCTGCTTCAGCCACCGTTCCTGAAGTGAAGGTATTCAGAACCCCACATTCAGTCTCCCTTTTCTCAGAAAGACTTGTGCTGCAGTACCACCCAGCCCCCCATGCAGCGTTTGTGTCAAAGTCTTCACTGAAGCCTCTCACAGAGCAATGCCTGTATGAAGCTTCTGGGTGGTGAAGTTACAACACAGGGAGCAAAGGGATTGCTTCAGTGAGGCAAGATATTAGGGCCAGAACTGACCAAGAGACTTGGGAAAAGTATCAAGCATATATCTTGCATTTTTTTCTGAACAAACTGTACCTTAGGATGAACACGGAGCGGATGCATCCTGATTTAAACAAGTGGGAGAAGTCTGAAATAACTGGGAAACTGAACACTGAATGGATAGAGTTAAAGAGTTATTATTCATTTGTTGAAATGTAATATGTCACAATTTTGCTTTAAAAAGTTTCCACAATTTCAGAAATTAAAAAAATCTCAAGTCATAAATCAAGAGAGATATTTGGCCTATTTGATATTTGTATGATATTTTAATGTAGATTTACATGGAGGACAGGTATGAGCTATAGAAAAACCTCTAATTTTTTATGATTTTTAAGAAATGTGTATGTCTACTTCAAGGTACTTTTCTTCTAGATGCTTTCTTCTGAATATGATTATATGATCTAAATCTGTTGATTCTATAACATCAGTAGATTTTATAGAAGGTATTCTAAGCAAGACTATAAAATACAATAATTTATATGTCCACCAAGTATAATTTTATTCCTGTACCTGGGTATGTGCTCTAAAACTGTTATTTGAAAGAATTCTTCCAATATATTTTAATTTCAATTATAATTTAGAATTCTGCCCAATTATACTTTCACTGTTACAACAAAAAAATCATTAAAATTTTGCATTTTATGGATATTAAGGATGAGCTTTCAAAATGCAATCGTATTAAAAAAAAACTGAAATCCATTTTCCTCTTCATTCTACCACAAGGAAAATATAACCAGTGGAAGATATGTTAAACGCATTTGAAAAGATCCATTTTCTTTCCAAGTTTTCATGAAGAAATCATATTAAGCAGAATATTTTGGGCCAATAAAATGCATGAGAAACAAGTCTATGCTGTGGCATATGTCTACATGTTTATAAAGAGAACTTACAGGGTAGAAAATATAAAAAGAGTAAGTAAATACCCTTCTTCCTCCCTCGCTCTAGTAGGTCTTGTTTCTGGAACATCTCGGTTTTTTTTTTTTTTCTGAATGGGACTGTTTCAGCAGTGGTGGAACAAAGTCAGCTCAGTACCTTAGCACTTCCTTTGAATCATGGAAAGAAAAATAGTTATCACAAAAATTTTTTGCAATGGAATGACCTTTCATTGGTAATGAGATAACAAGAAAAGATGTAAAGACAGACCTTG